ATAGACAACATGATACATATTGTAAGTGTAAGGTTGGTTTTGTCTTTAAAACTTTGTAATAATGAAATATATTGAACTATTTCATTTAGAATACTATAAATTTTTGAAATTTGATATATGGAAATTCATGACTCAATCACTGTCTTAAGAATTCTAAATAAAATATGTTCCCTTGCTGCTACTTCTGTGGCTAATGTAAATAATGTTTACTATTAAATAATAAAAATATATATAATTATGTAGTTTAATTTTTTAATACAGGAAAATATCAACTGACATAATGCTGTAAATAAGGAAAGGCTGTGTGTGCGTCAATTAAGTGACAAGTGTTGAAACCTTTGTCAACGTGCATTACAGTGCGATAAATGAACAGAGAAAGTGACAAAGGAAGTCATTGTATAGAAAAAAAAATTTCAGTTAATTGATTTTTAAACATGCAGTCTTATAATAGAATCCGTCTCACCTCTATTGTTTTTCCAGTATCCACGGTGATTGTAAATATGCAAAATTCATTTTCTTCATAACCATAGGGATACCCGGGTGAACTGAAGACGCCCTGCGTGTCTGTTAATAATCCGCCACACTCACCAATCTCATAGGGTTCTGTGAAAGATTATGAATTAAATGCGTCTTAGCTGGGGTCTACAGGAAATAATAGATTTATTTTTCATAGGGTTAACTATTCAAAGTACAATTTAAATGCACTGAGCAACACAGGACAACAGAATTTAATTGGAACCTTTAGCACCTTTTGTATCGTTAAAATTAGCTCAATTTGCTCCTAAGGTAAATAAGCCACGTTATAATTTATTTAGTTTTGAAAAAATAAAATGTTTTAGTACATGAATGTGATATAAGGTGTATCAAAAAGAAATAAATAGAAAAATATAACTTAACCATGAATTTAAGTGAACCGAGAATCAATGATGCATCACATTTCATTGTTGTACAAGTCAGTATCCTAGTGATTGATGAAAGACAAATGAATGCTCTCTAAAAATAGATAGTTGCTGATACCATGCTTCAATGATAATAGTCTCACAATATTGTAGCATACAAAATGAAGCCACGTGTGTGGAGGGCAACACAATATTGTAGCATACAAAATGAAGCCACCTGTGTGGAGGGCAACACAATATTGTAGCATACAAAATGAAGCCACCTGTGTGGAGGGCAACACAATA